ACTAACATAAATACAATTTACCTCAATTCCAGGGGACATGGAGGTATTTGAAGGAAAGATATTGGAATAGTCTTCGGAAGATAATATTTCAGCGTTGTGTTCTGCCACTTTGCTGTACACTTTCATACTACCAGTGAGATGTGCTCGCTGTGCTTCCATCTATTTTGCAAGAGTTAATCGTTATCTCATATGATAATACAAAAATTTCACATAAAGGCAAATGGCAAAAACCTTTTCCCGCTCGTAGATTATTGTTTCCCAGTAGATCTGCAAACCCTTGTTTTCACGTTGTTTTTTTACCTACAGGAATATGAAGCCGAAAATGAGTGTATAACTTCCAGATAATAAGTAAAAGCTTTGTCCCAAGGAGATAAATCGCAACAGTAGGGCCGGAATAAAAGCCGACACCTCCTAACCCAGATGAAAATAGGTGGAGTTGCCACTACCATCACTCGGGCTGGGACAAAAACCAATACTTCTAATCCAGATAAAAATAGACAGAAGCCCCCTATTATTGCTATTATTGCGAAATATACGAACACATCACCTTTTCTTCTATAGTTGCATAGTCATATTCTTTTAATTCTTTTGCTTTCGTCAAAAATCTACGAGCCCAAGTGAGGTCAAGAACACTCCATTCATTTGAAAAAGGTTGCGAGAAAAGGACGACATTACGATTAAGATTTAAAAATTCAGTGTAGGAACATTGCGTGTTATCTTTTATGTAGGAGACAACAGCTTGAATATTGTTAAATAGCAGGTTAGAAAAGGAAAAAAGGAGTACTTTCTCTTTTAAATAGCTGTACAAAACATTTACCGTGATAACCAGAGTACGGCTCATTCATGATTCAATCAACTATTTCGGAATTTTTTTTATAAGGTCGATTCAGAAATTACCGTGTTACAATACAGCCTCGTGTTTTGTTGCCACTAGTGCACTGCAATTAAATTATAGTATCAACTCTGAATATATAATTTGTTTGTGATAAATATAGCAACAAAAAAGTATGTTTTTTCAGATTTCATGTGACCTAACCAATAAAAATGGATTAAGTTTTTTCGC